AAAAAAAAAAAAAAATTTGTACATTGATGATACCAGTGTGCTTTTCTGTTTTAAGAAAGGGATTTGCGACAGATGGCTGTCTTGCTCACACTGTTCCTAATACTGTGCATCATCATATCCTCTCTTATTGAAATCTGAAAGCATTTCATGTGCATATTCCTGGGACTGCCGAACCTGTTACTTTGAAGCTTACTCCTTTATAGCATTAAGGAAGATGCTGTTAGAGGTGAACAGCCTGTCTGTGTGTTACATCTCTGGCTTCATGCAGGTGAATATGGTTTCTTCCCTAAAGCAAGGGGAAATACAATAATTTCTCTCTTTCGGGAGACTTACTGGAGATGTCTTAATGCACCACAGGTGTCTTTCAAGGAACCACTAGCAAACACAGTTTATGTTATGCCAGCAGAAGTCAGGCTGAATCTAGTCTCTAGCATGTAGAGTGTAAGGTAAGCATTTAGAAAAGAGAAAAACCTGCTTCTTTAAGGCAAAATGCTATCTTTTAGATCTGCATTCCTGGGCTACCTGCCCTGTCTTGAATGATATCTAACTATCCAGTTCAAGCTTTAAGCTTTTACTGGGAGGTAAAATCATGTTTGTGACATACCTTACACACAGCTTAGTGTCTGTGTTTATAAAACACTGCAGGCTCTCTCTGGTCTTGAACGTCTTGTTTCCTGGCCACACTTTGGATCCTGCTGCTTCCAGCTGTCATCATCATTGGCTCTGCTAGTTTTCTTTCGTAGTTCTGAGGTCATTGAGAATAATTATATTGGGTTGGACAAAAAGTTTGCTTCAATTGATACCCTACCTAACTTACTAGCAAGAAGCAAGCATATCATGATGCTTCCCTCTGGATATTCTCCCTCCTTCCAGCTATCTGAAGCTTACAGCCTTCCCATACTAATGTTTTTTTCTGTCTGTTTTGGCCTTTGTTTTTTCTTCAGTGAACTTGTCTATTTTTTTAATCCTCTTGTGACAATGAGCTCCCTGGTCTGAGTATGTAGGGAGCAACACCCTTTTATTTTCTCTAATTTAAAGGATGGGTTTCTTGTGGTGTGTACGAGCCATTCCTGTCGCTTTCCAGTGTGTATTTGTTAATCTTGCTTCTAAAGTTGGGAGGAAGACCTGGTGCTTGATGCTGTTTGCTCATTTTTCCCCAGTCCTTTTAACATTGTTTCACTCTGCTGGTCAGGTTAAAGCCCTGATTAAATATTGTATGGTATGTATAATTTGTGAGATACAAGTGTTGTGCTTCACAGCTTTACAAACTGCTATAATTGTGTGTTCTTGTTGCCATATGACCTGGCAGTTTGTGTCTTTTGATAATGCACTTCCCTCTGTGTGGGAATGCTGCTGATTTCTCTGGCATTACCAGGTGAGTGGGACTTCTGAGTGCGCTCTGTAAGTATTCAGAGACATTCTTTCATTCATGGGATGCAGAGTCGGTCTCGGTGGCTCAGTGCTTGCATTCCAGAATTAGTGGCATTTGGCTTTCTGTGCCAGCAGGGATGGGCTTGTCTTTTCAGCTCATTCTTAACTGGTGTTGCCATACCCCTTCCTACACTATGTCCCTTGTCAGCCCTTTCCAAGGGAGCCAGGAGCTGGTTACCTGCAGAGGCTCTGATTCAAGCAAGCATGTAAGCACATGCTTGAATCCCATTGATGTCAGTGACACTTCAGCATGTTATTAAACATACACTTAAGGGTTTTGCTGAAGTGTGTCTTAGATGCAGGCGCTGCCTGCCAGATGTGCTCTTGGAAGGCTTGGAAGCCTCCCTGGTGCTGTCACATTTACAAGCTAGTATCAGCAGGCAGCTTACTGGACACGTGTAATACAGCCTTCTGTATTCGGGGGCAAGGCATTTCAGGGGAGAAGTGGTGTGAAATAACCCAAACGCTGAGTAAATGTGGCCAGGTTCTTGCTGGAAATGGGTAGCTTTGCTGAAAGGAGGACTTGCAGGGACATCAATAAATTCTGCACCTTCACAACTTTTCTTTCTGACCTTATGATGTGCAAAATATGTGTGATCTTTGTTGCTGTTTGGACCCTCACTTTTTTTTGTGAAAAATCACAGCTGTATTCTAACCCTTGTGCTTGGGATCTGTTAATAAGCTTTAAAAAAAAGGTTTTGTCTCCTGCACTTGCTTCATACCTGCAAATTAACAAGTATGGTAAACTGTATGCAAACAGGATGTGGAGCTGAAACCCAGATAGAAATATTCGTTGACAGTTTTACCTACTCCTGTACTGTTTAGAGTTTACAATAGTCTATCTGAGATCAGAATCTGGCTGTAGGTGCATACTAAAATATTGTTGCTTTCGTATCAAGTAGGATACCAGTAGAATTTAAAGTTTAAAAAAATATAAAAGTGCAAGCTTTTATTTCTGAAGGTGTCTGAAAACGTTTACTGCAGTATTTGGAGTTGTTGCACAGCAAAAATCCCCAAAGGCCTGTGTTCACATAGCTGGGTTTTTTTAGCTAGTGATTTTCTTGTGTATGTTGTTAAACTGATTACAGGATATCTGGGCTCTCTGTAAGTCCACCGCATTGTTTGTGGAAAGTTTGATGGTAGCAGTGTTTCAGCACTGGGAAAGCAGACATCAAAAGCTGCAGTGCCAAGAAGTGAATTCCTTTAAAGGAGAGACCTCCTGCGAGCTCCTGACTTCATCCACTCCAGCAATTCAATGCTGTGGTACCAAAGCATGGCATTAGGTTTCCCTTAAATACCTGGGTGTTTCCCAATGAAATCACATAGTGTTTGCTTCTAAGCTAGCTTACATGGAAAACTTTTAACCTTCATGCTTCTCATGTGTGAAATTGAAAAGGAATTAGCAAAAAAATATCTGGAAGAGAAAACTTGCTGGAGCTGGGAAAAGAAACATTCCTCTCTGCTTGGTTAATTCATTCACAGATCTTTCAGGATGATTTTTTTTTTTTTTTTTTAAATACCACATTGTGGATCGCCATTCTTTTTGGTGTATGTTTTAATAATATAATTAAATGCTGAGAAAGGCCTGAAGTAGATGGAACAGTTTGACAACTTTTCTTCTGTAAATAGGGCACTGATAAAGAAGCAGTCATGGTCTCAGGTCTGCTTTACCATCCTGCCTGTACTTTGCCTACATGCAGTTTTTGTAGCATGTGAAGTACCTGAGATCTTGTTCACTGTTGAGTTTGCTTTAGAGGATGCCAACAGCTAAGTGAATCAAGTTTTATTACTTCTTGTGTGTACAAGTATCTTGTGGAGATCCCTGTTTCAGGGACGTAGCTCTCAGTCAGTGGAGGATGATTGGTAGTGATGTGGCTGTGATACTAAGACTGTAGGTAAAGCAGGCTTTGTAGATCGAGATGATCTCTTCTGGTCTGTAAGTTATTGCTACCTTAAAAATCAGTTAAACGTTTCTGGAAAATGTTTTTAGTCCAGGCAGGGAGACATTCTTGTCTCAGTAAAGGCTGAGATAAACCTCCAGATACTCCACAGTAGTTACTTAAAAATAATGGAAGCTTGCCTTCATTTGAGGCTTTGCTAGAGCCACATCTGTCCATGTGTTGCTTCAGTCAAATAAAAATTCCTGAGTCTGATAACCATGACATGGTGTTGGAAGAGGGGAAGGAGGAGAATCTGCTATGGCTTCAGTCTAAGTGATAGGAGACGTGTGGTTTGATTTGTTTGCTTGTTTTGCTGTTTTCCTAGTGCGTGTTTCAAAGTATTGACTTCAGACAACCCCAGGTAGTTCAGCTTAGGTGAGTTAGAGAAGTTGTGCTGGCATCTGATCTTCCTGCACAATTGGAAAAAAGGGACTGCCTTGAAAGGCTTATTAATGCTCCTGGGCTCAAAGACTGCCTGGGGCTAACAGGGAGATCCTAAGCATGAGGATTTGTGAATGCATCTTTCTTCTTAGAGTTGAGGTGTTGGATGTAATTCTGTCCACTGGAGCATTTCTGTCCCCTCAAGATTTATGCTTCCTTAAAAATAAGCCCTGAGAAGTGAGGGGTGAGAAGAGATTCAGCAAAACCATCCTCCATCTTTTGTACTGAAACAAGAACATGGGGAGCAAAAAGTATGTGATTTGTGTCCAGGAAGAGTGCAGCCAAGGGGGAAGCTTTATTTTGTTGCCTGGCAGTTAGCACAGACACTTTGAGAAAGAAAACCTGACTTCCTATCCTGTTGTTTTTGTTTTTTTTTTTTATCATGGGAGGAGAGACCAGGATTGGGTCTTGCCTCTTCAGCAGCTGTCCTGCCCACTGCGGAAGAGTGTGAAAGTTGTGAATTTGCCTTCTCTCAGAGTAAGAATAGAATTAGATTTAGGATCTCCCTTGTTTTGTATGACTGCCATACAGTGTGGGCCAGTTGCAGAAAGTGCATGCTACCACTGTTCCACTTATGCTTCCTGTTTTATAGTGATCCCAGTGCTGCCTTAATGGGTTAAATGTGCTGAGAGCACAGCTTCCTAGTCAAGGACAGCCTAAGGCCTAACTGTGTCTGTAGCCTGGTTTTGATTACAGCATTTGCTTAGCTGCAAAAGGTCAGGACACATTTGTGTAGACATGGGTCTCTCAGATTGGACACCAGGCACTCAGCAGGTGAGATCCATACTAAAAGGTGCAATGGTGTTATTCATTATAACATTTAAGAGATAAATTTTATATTGTCTGAACTGGTAGGTTTATGTTCTTTTCACAGTGGCTGGAGAGATGTCATCCTCTCACTTTTCCTATGGTGTGAATGCTTGTCTATCTTGGGTGGCGGATTACTCTTTCAAAGTAGGCCCAACTTTGATACAGTTACATTAGACAGGATGGACTTCCTAACACTGGCTGGAATAAAGATGTCACTGGAGGTGAAGGATGTGAGTTGTCAGTCACCTCTCAATAGAGCCTCCTGCGGATATGTTAATGACCATCTCTATGCATTTCCTGGCAGTCATTCCTAGCACACTTAATAGGTTGTGAAGTGGGACCTCATTAATGTAAGGTTTGGCTCTGCTTTCATTCTAGGTCGTCAGAGCTGCTGAAGAAGCTGCTTCCACCCTGGCAAGTTCCATCCACCCTGAGCAATGCATCAAGGTGCTTTGCCCCATCATTCAGACTGCAGATTATCCAATTAATTTAGCTGCCATCAAAATGCAGACGAAAGTAATTGAGAGGATTTCAAAGGAATCGTTGCATCAGCTCCTTCCTGATATCATTCCTGGGTTATTACAGGTACGGTATCCCGTGTCACAAATGCTCCTGAGCACAAACCACCACTGAGTAATTTGTGAGGTCTGTGACCTCAGAGAGAATGGATGGGCCCTTTGGGGCTAGATTTTGTTAAATTAAAGTTTTAATCCCTTTAATTTTTTATATTTGAGTTTTTAATGTTAAGAAAAAGAAGATTCAGTTTCTTCTGTTTATGTTCCACAATTAGAAGCCTTGGCCTGACTCCTAAATAAGCCAGCAGTAGCCACATAATAAATTTGAGTGTAGGAGTCAGCCACATCTTATGTTGTCTCACTACATCCCAAGCAATATATCTTGTAGTCTCCTTTATTTCTGCTGAGCTGTTCTGTGTTCTGATCGTACTTTGCTCTTGAATTTGAATCCCAGCAGGCAGGCTGGTCCTTTCTTCTTTCCAAAATCAGGACTGAACTGCTTGCTGACTTCATTCAGCCTCTTTCATAAGCCTCTCAGGCTGGGTGGGGAGCTGTGTTTTTGCCAGCATTAAGGCTTGGTCTTACAAAGCAAATTTAGCTTTCAGCATTGGCTGTAGGAATGTTGTCTTCTGTTCCTCTGCACAAGAAGCCAGCAGTGCCAGTGGCTGGGATGAGGCTGCAAGCAAGAAGGAAATAAGGGGAGGCAACAGTGAGAGATGAGAGACAATGTGTATGTGTTTACTGGAGAGAGATTGTGGCAGGAACAGATCAGTCATTGTGAAAGGGGAGACATGTTTGGGTGGGTAAGACTTCAGTAAAGAACTGGGGCAAAGAAGCCCTCCTCGCTGTGAGCATAAAAAGTTAGGACAAGAGCGAAGTCAGATATTCCCCTTCTGCATCCTAGGGTTCGTCTCAACTTTGTGGTGTCAGCTCTTGCAATTCTTTTCTTAAATTTCAGCTTCTGGGAAGCAGACAATTCTGTATTGATCTAAGCTTTTGTTGTGAAAAGATTTTAGCCGTAATTGTTGGAGACAACAGTCTGAACAGTGGAACTTCAGTGCACTAGAAAAGTTTGGGAGCAGCAAGCCTTTAAAAATGCAGTTATATTTGTGTATTAAATTGCTTCCATGTCTTAAAATGGATCTTGTTTCAGAGCATAGATACTTCCTCACCTTAGAAATTCATAGTGATAGAAGGATTCTACTCCTCATATTTGGGAAGTATTTTGGGATCCTAGCTGAAGGACTGTGTACGTTGGGAACCACCAGTGTGCTTCTTTACCATGCCAAGGCTACTGGTAGAGTGGTGAAGAGGCAGGCATCAGACAGCACCAATATGAGCACAAGCATGCAGCTCAGCATCTTGGAGTGGGATCTTCCTGATTCCAGTGAACTGCTGGGGATCTCCATGCAGGAACAGGACTTAGCTGGGGGTGTCATGGTGCTTGCCCTGGTCCCAGTGCAGAGCTCTGGCTCTCTCAGAGCCCATGGAATAGTAGTAGGCTGTGAGGCAGTCTCCCGTGTGCTGCATCTTAATACCCTCAGGCTGGAGACAGCTTTGAGCCTGTATAATATCCTGAGTGAATGCTCTAACTGTTGGGCTGTATTATTAAATTCTGGGAAAAGAAGCACTGCCTTGCAAGCAAGTTGGCAAATGGAGAGGTGGGGTGATGGTCCCATTGGTGCATACAGGGCAGGCTCTACAAACCCAGGTCCCACCAAGATGCAGGCCTCAGCACCGCACAGGTGTCCCTGCCCTCATGGGAGTAATTTGGGATGGATACATAAACAAAATTCCAGGCCCACAGGGAAACTTAAGGTCAAGCAGAGGCATCTGATCATCTCAGGAAGCCTTTGGGTTGGGATCCATCAGATTGTGTCCTGCATCTCAGCTCTCCTTCCAGCAGTGGGTTGTGTCTTAGTGGGTGTTCCTCTGCTGTAAGCCTGGGCTCAGCTTTTTTTCCGCTGCTGTCCTCAATAGCTTGGTGTTTCTCTCAGCTCATCTAGATCGCATGCTTTCCTAGCTCAGAGCTCATTGGGATTGCAGACTGTCATTTCACACTGTATTTTGGCCCTGCAGCTATAAGCCTCAGCTGTGCTGCGTTCCTCCTCCTGGCTTTCCCAGCAGAGGTCACCCTGCATCTGGAGGAGCCAGTGTCCCTTAGGCTGAAATGATGTCTTCATTTCTCATGGCGTGGCTGCTTACTGATGAATCACTGCCTGAGTACAGGACTGATGTCACCAACTGCTAAGTGGCCTGGTGGCTAGCTTGAGTTCTCCTGGAGTTGCTAGAGATCTGGTACACCTACAGGGGTCTCTCAACATGTTATTGTCTGGTATTACCTGATAAGTAATCAGAAAGCTTCAGGTTACAGTGGCAGTTCAGTGTGAAGCACAGTGTTTAAGGCTTTTCTGAAGGCAAGCTGGGAGCACAAGCACTCCCCTCCAAGAAGTCCTGACCATCTAGGATAGTGTATGGTTATCTGAACTGGACACAGGAGTGTGTATGTTTGATGGAGTCCTAAGCACGTGTTGGGGAAACTGTTGTTGCTCAATGCTGCAACATTAATTTTTACATGATAGTAATAATCTGTATTATCAGGAACAAATAGGATGTGATTGTATTCTCTCTTTGAGTATTCAGGTTGCAAACTCTTACATTAAGCAGAGCTTTTTCTGTTGCTCTGTTAGGTCAGGCACATTTACAGAGGGTACATCAGCTCTTTAGCATACTGCTCTGAAAGGATGTTGGTGAGTGCTGTTTGACTTCTGACCTTTTTTCCTTGTTTCACAGGGTTATGATAATACAGAGAGCAGTGTCCGTAAAGCTAGTGTATTTTGCCTAGTGGCAATTTATTCAGTAATTGGAGAAGAACTGAAACCTCATCTCGCACAACTCACAGGAAGCAAGGTAGGAGAGTAAACGCATCTCTGGGCTCTTGATTATAGTTAGCTGAATGGCTTGCGCTACTAGCAGCGAGACCAGTGGCATCACAGTAGTTCTGGGTCAAGCTCCTTGTACTATGTTAAATCGTATCTCACCCTACCAAACACTACTAGAACAGCACAGCACCTGCTCAGCAGCGTGAGCATTTGCAATCCCACTAAGAAAATTTTGATGGGGTACAGGTATGGGTTTCATGATGCATTTGATCCTGTGTAACTGCAAGCTGCCACTGAGAGGTCCTTCCCACTTACAGCCATGTTTAACTTGCCCCTTCGGTGCTGCATCCAGGGGTGTCTCTGCAGTGAGTTGGTTCAGCTGGCTGCTCTGGCTGAAAATCAGTTCTGCAATCCAAATTAATTAGCTTTCAGCCTGTTCTGTGGCTGTGTGGGTAACCCAGTGCAAAGAGTGGTGGGAATGCATGGCGGGGATGGGTGGGAGAGCAGGTTCTCTCAGCAGCAGGTTGTGGTTTGGCTGGTAGAAATGCAGGTAACACCTCATTTAATAGCATGGCAGTATCCCTTCTGGGACACCAGTAAGTTTAAGTGGCCCTTCAGAGGACTTTGTGCCCTAGAGTCAGGTTAACAGCAAAACTGAAGCTCTGATCTGATGCTGCAGGTGATAACCAACTCCTTAGTTCAGCTCTGGCCTTCAGACAAGAGCTGGCATTTCATGTAGAAGCAGGCAGTGTCTGGTTTTCAGAGCTGTTCAGGAAGCCATCACAAGATTTCTTCTCCTGTTTGAAGTCATCATAACCAAGATTTCTATGCAATTTTACAAACAATTCCGCATTTTTGTTTCGGAAATAGATCTCTGCATGTGAATAGGTATGCTTAGTTTAGAGGGCTTTGTTATGTTATTTTGAAACAATAATTTCTTTCATGGATAGTGGCACAGGAAGTGTGGCATAGGCCAAACCAACATGAGACTTGGATTTTATTTCTGAATTGAGTTGCCTTGTCCTTAAAAAAATTACTTGTGCCTCCAAATTGCTCTGGAAACAGATAGCTATGAGTGCTGAGGTTTACCTCATTATATTTGGGCAGTCGGGAAATCCCTCTATAAAATGTTGTAGAGACTTTATTATCCCAGTATCCTAGGTGCCACGGACTTACTCCACCACATAACTAACTATAAACATGTGAGTAATTCTTCTGGGTTTATGCAGACTGCCTGTGTGTTTACAGTTAAATGTGTGCGTGAGTCATTGCAGGATCTGGAGCTAAGGTGGTAAGGCAGAAAAAGAAAACAAGCCCATGCAGAGGAGGTATATAGTCATAACAGCTGCAGTGTCACTAGATGTACCAAGTTAGTGAAGATATTTAAATGTCATTGAAAATGACCATTTTATAAAGCATGGAAAGTTCAGGGTGCTTCCTAGAAGGGACCATGGCTCTTGGATCACTGTGTGCCTGCAGCCCTACTGACCTCTGTGGGATTCCTGCCCACCCAGAGCAGGCTGCAGGATTGAAGTCTGTGAACTGATGGCTGCTAAGTGAAATGCAATAGGATTTTCTGAATCCCGTGAAATCTCTAACTTCAGTGGGACTAGGCATAACCTCCTGCCTCTGTCTGTCCTGAAATACACTGAGCTTTGCTTCTGATTTTCTCCAGAGAGCCCAGCGTCAGTGCACTCAAAACTCAGTTCACCACAGAATCTGAGTTTTAGGATTTGCGGTTGACTTTTGTCCACCTGTTTTTCCTGGCATCTTCTCCTCATGTTTGTTTGTTTCTTTCAGATGAAGCTACTAAACTTGTACATAAAGAGGGCCCAGACCACCAACAGCAACAGCAGTTCCTCTTCAGATGTTTCAACGCACAGTTAATGGAGATATGTGGACATATGTGTAGACTTAGAAGCAATCAACGGTGCCTCTCAGAGACCTTTCTGCTACTCTTCACTGGCGTGCTTCATCAGCTCAAGGAGGCCATGCAGATATTTATTGCAATCAGTATTTTAGTTCCTTAAAAGCTTTTATGTAGAATCTTACTGGTATTGAATGTAAAGGAAGCAAGGTCTGTGTTGCAGTCTTCATTAAAAGTGAACAACAGAAAGCCATACTTAAACATATTTGTATAGCCTGCTGAAATCTCAGAAATATGTTTAGGTTAGCATTCCAAAACTGAGTTCAGAAACCTGGATATGCATAAAAGTCAAACAAATCTTGTTGGTTTAGTTCATACCCAGTTTTAGTTTCTGTGTGCTAGTTACCTGTTCTCTCCCATCAGCTGCTCTGGCTAGGTTCTCTTCTTCTTACAAGTCTTGTGGTCCTGTTCTGTACTCCCTGCTGCATCTTACCTAATGTGCAGAGCTGTCTGCAGGGAGATCTTTGCAGATGTGGTTGTGATTCCAGCCTTGGATGCTTTAATACTGGGAGATATCAAGTGCATAATGAAAAAGTAGGTTCTTTTTAAACATCTGAGATTTTGTACATAGTTCTTCTGACTGACCTTTGATAGGCTAATTTCTCTTTAACTGCTCTCCAGCCAGCTGTGCTATGCAGAACAGCTGGGCTCTTGCTCCTTTCATTGACTGTGTAAATATTTCTCCCCTCCTAACCCATTTGGCTCTTTCATATGCTCAAAAGACTCTCCAGGTTACTTGTCACTCCACAAAGGGAACCTGAGACCCAGTTCTGGGACTGATGGCCTGCGAACGGGACACTGGAGTTGGGTGGGTGAGTGTTGGATTAGGTACTGAGGGTGCCCATGGGTGGGCAGTGGGGCTCGCAGGGCTGTGTCTCAGTGCTGCCTTGTGAGGCTAGCTGCATTTTTGAAGTATATAGTGTTGAAGGGCTGATCTGCTGCTCTGACCTGACCCACTGGCAGTGGGTGGTGAACGGCTTTATCCCCACAACTCCTTTATGCTTTGGGCAAAATGTTCACCATAGAGGTCAGAAAGAGTGTCTGAAACGGAACAAAAAGACCCCGTGGAAGCACCTGCTGAGCCATCTGGGACAATGCTGGTTGCCTGCCACATCTCTCCTCCTGTGCCTGAAAAGCCTGCAGTGCTGTTAGCTGCCTTTAGAAACTTCCTTCTTCCTGGCCAGCACCACGCACAGCCCTGCTGGGTGCTCTGTATTTTGGAGGGGTGTGGAGAGCCCTTGCTGGGCACTACTGTCAACAGGGTGCTCTGGATAAGGGTACCACAGCGCAAATCCTTTTGCAGCCTCATGACACAGACCAGGTCAGAGCCAAACCAGCAGCACCAAATACCCCACAGCACAAGATTTCCCAAAGGGAACATTCTCCATTTGGAAATGGTGAGCTCCCATGCCTCTGCCTGTAACCAGGGGAAGCAGGAGGAGGATGCTAGTGCTGTGTTTGGCCCTGAGCTGGATCCTGGCTGATGGGCATGCCCACCCCAAACATACAGTGGATTGGAACTGGCTTTTTGCCGGCAGTGCCAGCAGTGCAAGAGGATGGTGGACCTGCAGCTTATAGCTGCAGCTGTGCTGATGGATGTGTGCTCCCTGGCTATTCTCAGTGCCTTGGTCTCTCTCCAGCCCTTCCATTTCTGCTTTGGGGAGCTGAAGGGATGCCTTGGTAGTGTACTGAGAACGTGAAAGTCTACTGCAGCAGGGAGTGCAGTGAGGAGGGTAAAGCCACATTGTTCTCCCTTCCTGTCAGTTCATCCCTGTGTGTCTAACCCCTGGCCTCAAGGAGCTGGGAGGTGATGCTTGGTGCCAGCTCCCTTCCCAGTCCTTGGCTCAGGAAGGACTGGGGGCTGGTGGGAACTGTGCAAGATTGGGCTGCTAAGCTTGTTGGTCCTTTTCCCTGCTGATGTGAGAACAGAGGAGGTGACCTGCTCCCACGTTTGTTAGGATATGTCCAGGCTTTTGCAGGCTGCAGGGTTAGTTCCCTCAGCTTTCCCCAAGCGTAATGCCATAGCAGGAGAAAGGTGAGATCTTGGTGGGTGGGATTCCCCCAGGGTCTTTCCCACAGGCTCAGAAAAGCCATCCTCATCAGAGGGAGGATCGGCTGCTCCATGGTTGGTGTCTCCCTTTCCGTGGACCATTTCTTTTCAACATCTTTCAGTATGCTTATTAGAATATTATTCTTTTTAATTTTTGAATGATTCAGATTATTGTCGTTTAACACAAATTTATTTTCCCTTTTGAGGAAATACTCAGCTGACTTGTTGGCAGCAGTTAGCTGTCTTGTGTGAATTTTTAGTGGTGGGTTTGGTTTTTTTTTTTTGTTGTTTGGTTTGGTTTTGATTTTATTTTTATTTTTTTTTTAATTTGTACTTTGACTGCTTAGTATTTATGCCTCTCCTTCTCCTCATCTCAGTTCAGCGTCTTCTGTTCCAGATCTGTGGTTCAGGAGGTCAGCATAGCTGACCAGATGGAGATTAGTCCCTCCCAGCTGTAATGGAGCTTGGTCCATCACCGTTTGCTGTTTCTTTATTATTGTTTTTAATAGCACACTATAGTAAATCTCCAGGAATTGAATTCCTTCTCAAATGTTTTTATATATTTTATCAAATCCTGTTAGTATGCACTGAGAGCGAACACACTGTATCGTCCCTGAAATGATGCTGGTGCATGTGCTGACACTGTGGTAGGAGTTAACAGCTCATCCTTGACAAGATACATGCAACTGGCTGCTGCTCCAGTGACCTGTGTTTTCCAATACTACTGGCACACTCGGGACTGCAAATGGTAGAACCAGGCCTTACTTTCTAAATCAGATTCGGTTCTGTTTGTCAATGGATGCTCTTTAATGTGCTACTTAATTTTGTTACGTGAGTCAGTCAAGGATTGTTCATCCTTTGAGTACTCTAGAAGTATGTTATACCTGTATACAGTAGAGAGCATTCTCCTTAGGTATTTATAAATCATTGCGTATAATGTACATAGTAAGGTTGTTTAGTATGTTGAACATGACCCGATTAATTTTTTTGTGTTTCCTTTGAAGTACTCAAAGGGCTAGCTCTGAATGTCACCTCTCTGATCTCCAGTGTTCTGACTTCAACAAGATGTACAATCATTTTGTTTTCTCTTCAGCAAGCATAAAGGTCTCTCTGGCTACAAATCACAGTGTCCATGCACGCTTGCAGAGAAAGATCTGCATGCTGGCAGTGCCTCACCGCACCGGTGAAGCTTGTGTTCATGTTCTCCTGGCAGTAGGCATCTACTGCAGCTGACTTTTGTTTTCCTTGCTGCCCATTATGCAGGGCTTCAATTTTTCGTATCTTAAAAAAAAAGAAAAAAAAAAGAAAAGAAAAAAAATAGTGAATTTTCTTTGCCCACCATGCTCTAGAAGTCTGAATGGGAGCAAACTCTCAGCAGACAGTGGCTCCTGGCTGCAAGGTTGCCGAAATCTCGGATGTGGATGTTTTTTCTGCCATTGGCTGCACCAGTGCTCCGTGGGCATGGGCAGATACCAGATCCATCCGCCCCACAGGTCTACGTACTGTAGTTCTCATGTAGTGCAGAAATACCGAGGCATGTGGCTTTCTTAAGGTACACTATGTGTGCTTGCCTGGATTACAATACAATATGAGACTGTCTTTTTTTATTGCTTATTACTAGCTTACCAATAACCTGTATAAGTAATGTAACTCGCATCTTTGTCATCAAAAACTTTTCTCCCCACCCCTTTATTTATCAAGCATAATATTACATATTAAGGGACAGAAAAAATAGACCTTTGTAGAATGCAGCAGGACATTGCTAACAATGTTTTAAATGGGAAGTAAAAACCTGCTCTGAAAAACGCCAGCCACGAGAAATGACTTTGTTGGCACCGTGTTCATGCGCATGTATTTTTTTCTATTTTTTCCGCTTTTGTCATGTTACATCCATATCTGTATTTATATCTTATTTGTTTCACTTTTGAGTGTATCATGGCAATTGTACAGATGGTTTTTGTTAACATTTACGTGATAGAATTTGCTAAGAAAAAAAAAAATAAAACCTTTTGAGTTTGCCCTAGAAGGAGTTGGGTTTCTTTTGTGGGGGAGAAATTAGTAGTAAAGTAGTAAAGGTTCATTATCCAACACAGCTCCTTACCCCAACAGCCTTTGCTTGTAAAGGATCTGCTCTTATTCCTGCCCTGGCAGCTGTGTTTTTCTGTCTTGGAGGTGGTTTGGTGGGCTGTTTCCTACAGGCACCAGTCTGTGAGTGGCAGTGAGGCCAGGAGGCAGCTGATCTTTTGGGGTGCTGGTCTTTTGCTGTCAGTTTTTAAAGGCTTTTTGAAAATCAGGATTTGAGAGGATTCTTGGGAGCATTTATGGCCTTTGGAAGAAGGGGCAAGCAACTCAGGAGGACTACAAAGATGCTGTAGGGAGAAAATTAGAAGGGCCAAAGCCTGACCAGAATTTAATCTGTCTACTGCTGTAAAAGGTAATTAAAAATGTTTCTATAAATACATTAGCAATAAAAGATGGGTTAAGGAGAATCTCCTATTGGATGTGGAGGGAAACATAGTGCCAAAGCATGAGAAAAAGGATGAAGTACTTGATTCTTTCTTTACCTCAATTTTCTATAAAAAGACCACTTGTGGTTAGGGTACCCAGCGCCACAAGCTGGAAGACAGGGACAGGGAGCAGAATGAAGCTCCCATGGTCCAAGGAGAAATGGTCAGCAACCTGGTACACCACTTAGACACACACAGGTCTACGGGGCTGGATGGGTTTGATCCAAAGGTAGTGAGGGAGCTGGTGGAAGTGCTCACTGAGACACTTTCAATCATTTATCAGCAGTTCTGGCTAACTGGGGAGGTCCCAGTTGACTGGAAGTTACCGAATGTGATGCTCGTCTACAAGAAGGGCTGGAAGGAGGATGTGGGGAACTACAGGCCTGTCAGTCTGACCTTAGTGCAAGGAAAGGTTATGGAGCAGATCATCCTGAGTGCCATCATACATGTACAGGACAACCAGGCTGTCAAGCCCAGTCAGCATTGGTTTAGGAAAAGCAGGTCCTGATTGACCTGATCACCTTGTATGACAAGGTGACCTCCTTACTGGATGAGGGAAAGGCTGCGGATATTGTCTACCTCTAGACTTCAGTAAAGCCTTTGAAACCATTTCCCACCACGTTCTCCTGGAGAGACTGGCTGGTTGTGGCTTGGGCAAATGTTTTCTTGGTTGTGTTCAGATTTGTGCCCCTCGCTACAAGAAAGACATTGAGATGCTGGAGTGTGTTCAAAGAAGGGCAACAAAGCTGGTTAAAGGTCTACAGCACAAGGCTTATGAGGAGTGGCTGAGGGAACCGGAGAAAATGAGGCTCAGGGGAGACCTCACTCTACAACAACCTGAAACCGGGTTGGGGGCTGGTCTCTTCTCCCAAATAACGAGTGATAGGGCAAGAGGAAATGGCCTCAAGTTGAACCAAGGGGAGGTTTAGATTGGCTATTAGGAAAAACATCTTCACCAGAAGGGTTGCCAAGCATTGGAGCAGGCTGCCCAGGTAGTGGCTGAGTCACCGTCCCTGGAGGTATTTAAAAGACACGTAGATGTGGTGCTTAGGAGTGTGGGTTAGTAGTGGACTTGGCAGTGCCAGATTAATAGCTGGACTCGATCTTAATGGTCTTTTCCAACCTAAACAATTCTATAATTTTATAGATTTTGGTGTGTCCTTCAGGGCTGCAGCTGCAGTGTGTTGACAAGGGAGTGTTTGTTTATTGAACCACCTTAAAGTATCTGTCCCTTGTAGCTCCTTTGTCATGAAATCCCTTGTTGTCCTAAGCCACATGATTGCTTCACACATGGAGAATGGGGAATGGCTGTAATTGCTGGCTGAGACAGTCTTGCCAGGCTCTCCCTATGATGGAATACTGGACTTGCTGCCAGCAATTAAAGGTAGCAGATTCCTGGCAAGTATGAAGGCCTGCTCTAAGCACTTGCAGCCCATTCTCAATTAATTTATCAGTCCTGGAGGGTCTGGACTGCTGGCAGTTTCTTTACAGGCCAACACTTTGCAATCCCCCTCGTTATTTTGCGACCCCTTTTCTCCCATGAGGGATGCACCAAGGAGCTCAGTGCATGTCAGCACAGTTGCATTCCTGCACCAGATCCCTTGTCTTCCTTTTGGCTCCAGTTAAAAAACAAGATGTTTTGGCTTAAGACCCCTGAGAAAGTGCAGCTCAGCTGATCAGTGGTAACTTGTGAAGTTAAATAATTCCACTGCTTCTGATTGTGCAACCCTCATTTACCCTCCCTGAGCAAATCTCACACACTCCTCTCTTCATCAACCCAACACATTTTTCCTACTTTGCCCTTTCATAGACATCCATGAAAGGGCCCTCACCAGTGAGTGAGTCTCAGCCCTGGAAGGAGCCTGCTAGGAGGAGACTTAGATCAGAAATGCAAGTAATACTGATCTTGAGGAGGCAATGACAGACCATAAATCTCCATCCTCTACTGTGGTAGGGAAAAAACACTCCGCAAGGCTTTGGGGAAGCTGCTGGGGCAACATGGGCATGGAAGTCAACCTGAGCATCAGGTGGGGAGGGAGGGGTGGTTCTGTGTTTAGGACTAGAAAACAACCATTGCTTGTTGCAATCACCAGTCACAGATCCATTGGCAGATAATATGGGGTTATAACTGATATATGTGTGTAAAATGGGCTGGAGAAGGTTGTTTCAATATCAGGGTCAGCAGCACACAGCTCTTCCCTGCCAGGGCAGCATGCATGCGTGCATGGAAAGATGATTACACCACTGCAGTTGCTGTGCTCTCCTGGACCACTGCAGCTGCAGCACAGGAGATGCTTACATGTTTCAGGTTCTCCCTGGAGATCTGACTGCAGCCAAAGGCTTGGGAAATACTGGCCCGTTAAACCCAAGGCCTTTATGCAACATTGCTCTGCTTTCCATGTTGCTTTCTCATAACTTGGCAGGTACTGAAACACTGCCACTGCTTTCCAAAAAAGGGCTATTTCTATCTAAACTCGAGTGCCAGCCAGGAGCCAGCAACCCTCCTTGCTGCCCAGCACAGGGGTCAGCAGGAATGAGTCCACTGTCCATTGAGTCAGGCACAATACATGGAGACAATGGTCACAAGGGCTTCAGCTCTCCGAGGGACCTGGGGCTGAGGCTGGAGGGCTCAGCAGGAAACAGACACTTGGGTGCAATGAACAGGCAAGAGCTCGCCTGGGAGTGAAGGAGACGGGGAGCAGGCGGCGGAGGGGAAAGGCAGTGTAAACCAGACCGAGCTAATACAGGGCCGGGGGGATTACAGGGTGCCAGGGAAGCTGCTCGCAAACACGTCAGGTACAGAGCAGCACTCCAGAGCTGAGGGGTAATGAGTAATTAATGAGGAGAGGGATGAAATTCATAATGACTTAAAAATGGTCGGGATAATGAAGTCCTTCTCTTTAAATCCACCTTTAACAAGAAAGCTAAGGGAAAGGATTTAGATCAATTAAGAAGTAAAGAAAAGCAATCTTGTAAAAATAGCTATTGACACAAGTAAGTGAGAGAACAGCTGGAAAGTCTCTCCATGGTTGAAGCAGCAAATGGCTGAGGCCTATGGCTGAAGGGATTTAGGGGGGAAGGTTTGGTTATTAAATGATGGAGAGTTGCAAGGAAACCTGCCTGGACCCAGCTTCATGTTTGTGCTGCTGTCGCCATGCAGGAAGAAGGGGAGCCACACAGCCTTGGGGAGCTACTCAGCCTCGGGAGCTGCAGGAGGTGAAATGGAGTGAATGGACTGAAGACATACACCTCACTGTCTGCCTGCTGGTGCAGGAGTTGTGTTGCTGGTGACACAGGACAGCCTGTGAGTGTCCAGCACACAGCAGCTTCTCTCACAGCAATCTCCATTATGGGCAGCAGTTGCTGGCCAGGTACTGAACCCCAGCTCTCAGCTAAGCAGCTATGGCACCTTTTACAGAATCATGGAATCACCCAATTTCTGTATTTAATGACTGTATGGCAAGAGTAGTCAAAGGAGAGCTTCAGGAAGGTGGCACAAGTATGCTCCTGGACATAAAGATGTGCTGATTGCCTCTTGCTGGGACTCATCCCACACTCCACTCAGCTCCTGGTTCCAGATGTTGGATGTACGGGGCTCTTGCAGTGTGAACTCTACGGGTTTTGGTGCTTGCATGACTTCTCCTTAGAAACACTAGAAGTTTTAGCAAATCACTGTGAATTCAACAGGCAGGGAGCTGGTGATGATGTCTGGCTGATCTCCTGCTGACTTGCTCTGGGGTGATCATGGTGTGGAGCAGTAGGGTGCAGAGGCCGCAGTCCACTTCTATGGGATACAGCTGCCCTCTGTGAGCATCAGCAGCCACTCATGGCCAGTGGATATGCAGTGGTCCTCAAAGTGATGGCCCCCATTACCTTCAAGTGTGCTGAAGCTCAGGTGTCACAAAAGAGGCTGGAAACACTGGAGTTGGCACTAAAATATGTTCATCTCCTCCCTGTTAGGGGAAATATTTTTGGCTTGCTCTGGCTGCCATGCAGCAGGACACTGGGAAATTCTCTTCCTTACCTAGATGACCCAACTCCTTTAGACCCATAACCCCATCCCCCTCTCCACTGAATAACACCCATAAGGTCCATTGTGCCTGGACCTGCCTCCTGCCCCCTCCATGGGTGTCCCCAGCACAGGGTCTTTCCTGCTTCCCCTGTGCCAAAATGCTTCCCTCACAGCACAGGCTGGGGCTGGCTCAGCATCTCTGGGCAGGTTGGTGCTCGGGGCTGAAAGGGTTAAAGAGCTGTCCCTGTCACAGGGGCAAGTTTCTCCACTGCCGGTCTATAAATAGGAGCTGGGTTTCTAATCTGCTTGCCACTTCTTTCCACTCCCGGCCAGTTTCATCCTGCTTTTTCCTGCAAGGAGGTACCTGCACCGTGACTGCAGCCCTGCAGATACTGCTGGGAGAGGGAGGAGAGCGGCCAAGTCCTGCCCGGTGAAACACAGTGCCTGTCAGTCCTTCTGTAACCCACCCTGATTAAAAACAAACGCAAACAAACAGGAAAAGAGAGGGGAGAGAAGCGTGGCCCAGTAGAGCTGACCCAGGTAAGCAGAGAGCCTCAGCTGCTTTTGCACCCCACTGACCCTGGAGAAGCAGTGCCAGCCCTGCTCAGCTTGGTTCCTGGGCAGGCTCAGACTGCGCTGTGCTTGTCTGAGCCCTCATGGGCACCCCAGAGCTGAGGCTGAAGGTTTGGCCACCCTTTTCCTCGTTCAGCTGTGCCCTTTCAGCGCCGTCATGGATGCTCCTGGGAGCCTCTTCATGTGTTTCTGGACAGCTTTTGCTCAGACACAGTAAAGAAAAAGTAAATATAACATTCTCATTTATCATTCATTGTGAAAAGTACAGAGCAATCCATCCCCAAAATGCCATGTGTGAATGACAGGCTGCCCTGCTTGGAGGACATGGACTTAGAATTGTAGCATCATTCAGATTGAAAAGTACCTTAAGAACATCTAGTTCCAACCCCCCTGCCACGGGACATCTCACACTAGACCAGGTTGCTTAAGGCCCTGTCCAGCCTGGCCTCTCCTTCATGCACGGTTTAGCCTCGCAGCTGCCCATTCCCATTGGCATATAAACTGCAAGAGCAATGTCTGTGCTTCCTTTTCTTGTCCAGCTGATTTCCCACAGCCAGCGAGCATCTGTCTGCTCCTGCAGGCTTGGAGGGAAGCATCACCCCACAGCTGGGATGGCAGGAGCTGTGCTGAAGGGTTGTTTGACCCTGCCCAGAACACTGAGCCACGGAGCAAGCTGTTCGACCACAGCTGGACCCAGGGCAGTGCCTGGCTTCACTGACGCTGGGATTTTGGCATTCTCCAAGACCACTTCCAAAACCTTTATCGTCTACAGCAGTGGGGAGCTACTTTGCTCTGGGAGCATCTCTCCACCCGGTTGCGTATTGAGGCTGCTGCTGCAGCAAGTTCAGGATTCAGCCTCTGCCCCCAGCTTTAGCTGTGGGGAAGACCATCTCCTCCCAGGATTTTCCTTCTGGTCTAGTGGAAGATGCTCCTGCCCATAGCAGGGGAGTTGGAACTGGATGATCTTTAAGGTTCCTGACAACTCAAACTACTCTATGATTCTATGATTTTGGTAGATGGTGCCAACCGGTTCTGACAAGAGTCCCTGGCCATCACTGTGCAGGGTGAATATCGGTTTCACAATTTAGGGACGTTTGCAAGACTTCTGCTTTCTGCTGGTTGTTCACGAGTTCCCACCACTTCTTCTTGCAGCTCCCTGGTTTATACCTGGCTACAGATGTTCCCCACTAAATGACCATGGTGGGATCTGTCTCTGGAAGTTTAATAACAGCTTGAGAAGTGCCTGGATGTTGTTCTTTCCACTGAACTTCACATGCCAGTGAACTGAAGCTGTGGAACTGAACATCAGCTGGGAATTGACAGCCAGGTGTTATATCCTTCCCTTCCTGCTGAAAGGAACCTGGGTCCTACTGCTGGCTGATCCTGGGTGTTCAACAAGAGGCGAGGGATCCAGGTTTTCCTTTGAGACCAACCCATGCTAGCGGGAGGTGGGGACAGGACAGCCCTTTTCCTTTCAAGTTAGTGGCTGAATTCCAGAGGTGAGCCAATGCTCAGAGCAAGTGGGAGCACTGGAAAGGGATCCCCAGAAGCTCAATCCCTAATAGCTCTGCAAGCAGAGGAGAGTGCTTTGGCTCTCCAGGCAGTCCTTTGAGCATGGTCAGGGTCACTGTGGTGAAGGGATGAAAATTTCAGAGCAATAGGTTTAGAAAAGCAAAGTCCCCGAGTCTGGTTCTCACTATGCAGTGCAGGAGCCAGATTCCCCTCTCAACTGCACTGGGACATTGCTGCAGATTGGAGCACTCCCTTGAGAGCAGTGCTGCTGGGATGTGGGGATATTCTCCCAGTAGCATTTTGCCCTGCAATTGTTACTGGCATGTGGCTTCTCACTCCATTTCCTTTGGTATTCGGCAATCACCATGTTTTGGGCAAGCACTAAACATTAACTTAGCTTTGTACTTAACAACTCAGTGGTGTGTTTGGAGCCCCGCTACAGGAAGGGGACACACTCAGTGTCCTTCCCCTGGCCCTGTCAAAGGTTTAGGGCAGCCAAAGCAAGAGAGTTTCACTGAGTTCACACCAGCATTCACTGAGCACACAGCTCTGCTTGGCTGAAGGCATATCCAGGTATCCAACAAGTGTTGTTTTCATCCACCTAAAGTCTTTGATTGCCTTGATTAACACAACTAAGAAGACCTTGCTGATTTGAAAGCAGAGTGAAAAACCTTCTCAGCAGAAATCAAAGCCCTGGAGCGGTCTGGAATGTACAGGAATGGCATTAACAACTAATCCCCACTAATCCAAGATGACATCCTTATCACATGAGAGCATAAAATGTAATTAGAGTTATATAGTGTTATCTCCAGAGTACTAAGCAAATATTAACCAATCCATCTTCCCAGTGCTCCTCTGGGGACAGCCCAGCAGTTCAGTTACCCTGGCTGTGCAGGTGGGGAAACCAAAGACATGGGATGGTGCACTAGCAGGGTCCCCTTCTGGAGAAGACCATGCCCACCTTGCATCCAAAAACCCGAAATAAGAAAAGCATTTCTGACTGCTGGGAAGTCTTTTGAAGACACAGAGCACATCTTCCTTCAAGGCCCCTGTTGTCTAAGGGATGGCAAGTGACCACTGTTGCCCTGCATTTCCAGGATCTCTCAACAGCTATTATATATCTGCAGGGAGGTAAAATGCATTGTCAGACAGGGGCTTCCTCCACTGCTAGAACACATTTAAGTGATATCCAACCATCTCTTCACCTCTGTTTGTATCAGGGTTTTTTTTTTAATGTCCCAGATTTGCCCCATCTCATGGATGCCGCAGAAGGTGCCTTTGCCCGGGGGAGCTTTTTTGTCTTACCTTTGGCTCTCCAAGGGAGATTGGCCCTGAGATGGATAGTGCAACTGATGGTCCCCACCTGTGTGAAGCAATGCCCTTGGGACTGAAGTCAGCATGCAGGCTTTACAGCCTGAATTGAGGTCTCCACCATCCTTGTAGCCAAGGACACCTAGAGATGGGCAGGGAGGTCTCCCTGCATGATGCCTTTCACCAGGCTGTGTGTTTTGTTGTTTAACAAAATACAGAGCCTGATCCACTTACAGCAGTTGGATCATTTTCAGCAGTGGGGGATGTGGTCCTCTTATCAACGCCTGTTAGCACTGGCTGCCCTTGACCAAGAGCTGCTTTTGAGCAGAGGAAGACACAAACAGCCACTGAATTTCTCAAGGCTTTAGGATAAGATTGTATTTCTTGGGCTGGCAATGCCCTCTGCTTTAAAAAAAAAGTATTTGAGAGTGAAGTATAAATTCCTGGGCTCTATCAGCCTCTAAAATCAAAGACACCAACCAAAAGGGTACTGGCATTTGAAGGACAGAACGTTTCATGGGCTTTTTGGTGGTCACACTGTAGTGGCACTGTCTTGACTGGAGGACATTACCCTTGAAGATCTGTCACAACATACATTTACCAGAGGGCTTGAGAAGAGCTGCAGAGTACAGGGTGAGAAGGGACAGCTGCAGTGTCCCCTGGGTACTCCCTAGCTCTGTGCCACCTCTCCCTGCTGCAAGCTGTTCCATACCCTGCAGGATCCACTCAGTGAACATTTTATTTTCCCCTGGGACACTGGGAGTGAACGAAATGAAGCGGTGAACATTAGGACTGGTGCGTTTGTTTGCTTTATTAATCAAATTCCAGATTTTTCTGGGATAGTAAAGAAGAGGCCACCTGCAGAAAACTCCGGCAAACTTTTCCAGGCACAAGGAGGGAAGGAATGCCGTTGAGGAAGAGAAATGTTGAAGTGGTTCGTGGAAAGCTGTTTTGTCACCGGTTCTTTGGAGTTAAGACTATGTTACACCCTCACTGGCAGTCATACCTCACTGGGTTGAGGGCAAGATCTGTTCCCAGCCCACCCTAGGCTTCCTTCTCCCCTGCTCCCCCGCTGCGCTGGCACCATCAGTTGCATGGCCCCACTGGGACTCAGATCCACAGACTGATCCGCTGGGAAACAAACTGGAGACCAGAAAAAGGCTTTTTGTAACTTACGGAGACAGAGCAGTCCCCAGAAGGAGCTGCTCACCTCCGGCGCTGCTGGTGCGGACAAGGGGAGAGGTGTGGCATGTCCTGCAGTGGTGGACAGAGGTGCAGGGGGAGGCAGCGCTGCTACCTGGGTGGGACCGTATCACCCCAGAACCTGCTGTGGGACACCTCAGTTTATAAGAGGTCTTTTTTCGGCCTGCTGAGGAGCTGCTCCTAACTGTGTCTAGGATGGCCACTAAAACCCTACACTTAAGAGGTTGCCTTCTATGCCTCCTGGTTGTGAGGCAGTTTAAATCCACAAATGCCCCAGATATTATCATATTAGCATACTGCAGAGTAGGGAGCAATTTTTACCCTCTTAGGCAGCTTACCTGACACTGCTTTTCTAGCTTTATAATGCTGCCAGTAAACTGCCGTACATGTCTGACTTGGCCAGTGTGTCCTCTACAAACCATTGAACATGTTCCCTTTCCTTGCCCAAGGGGCCCTGGCTCCAGAGTTGCTGGGTCTCTGCCTCTGCTTCTGGAGCTCAGGCTGCCCAGGTTAAACTATGCATTGAAAAATTCCATAACCACTTCCAGCCTCAATGAATAGCTTATTCAAGGCCACTGGAAGGCTCTTGCGTTATCTAGTTCAATGGTTTTCAACTTGTTTGTTTCCTGTTTTTATTTCCAGTAGAGATGGGAATCCCCAAAAAGTCACATGTACAGCCAGCCGACCAGCTTGGTGCAGTCACTTTCCACAGGTGATGCAGGAGCACCCTGGGCCCTTGCAGGGTCTTCCTTGTGAGCCAGGAGATTTGACATCTCTCACGTGTCTTTATCAGTATGTATCACTCTGGCAATCTTTGTATTTTCTCTATAGGTAATCAGATTGTAAATTTTTCTATATGCTCCTAGAGGAAGCTGTGGTGGTGAAATTACTAGTATTTAAGATTGAGAAGTCTGGTTAAGAAGTTACCTTTACTAAAAGCACATTCTTTTGACTAAAAGGTGACAGTCTGTGATTGTTCACAACTCCCTGCTGCTGAGCTAGGGTAACAGCTGGCGTGCCACCCTGATGGCCTCCACCAAGAGCCATCTCTCCATATCATCATATTATTTACTGTTTGATACCTTAGGTTTGTGCAGCTAGCAAGCTACTTAAGGAGTCCATCACATCCCTTTTGTAAATATTATCACAATATGGGTTTTCTTCTGGAATTCCCCATGGATTCCAAGTCACACTGAACACCGGCACCAGTGGTACAGACCATTCTTCAATGCAGTTTATGCTTGAAATTGTTGGATTAAAAATGTGTAATTTTACTCACTGCTAAAGTTAGAAAAGTCCAAAAAGGAAATCTGCAGGAAGAAGAACTCAAGGATTATTTCTGCTACGCATTTGAAGAAATAAAGCACAGATGATGTGTATAATGGCAAAATCAAAATGCGAAGAGCTCCAACTAAACAGAGGCTATTGAAAAGCAGCTATGAAGATTAGACATAAATCTGACTGCTTGACACCACCAAGCAGATTATGTCACTTTGAGTTTATTCTATTGATTCATAGTAAAACTAATGGTGCTGTCTCACGTAATAGTCTCAGTGATTGCTACTGCTTGCACCCGGTGTTACGAGCTGGACATTGCTGGATAGGGTCAGCTTCCCTTCCACTGTTACTACTTCCCTTCTGTTTGTGTTACAAGAAGTCCCTTCCCAAGAGATGTTTATAAACTATGATCAAGTTTCTTAACCTTGTTTTGATAAATGAAAGCAGATGTTTGGCAGGATTCATCTGATTCATCTCAGTGTTTATAGACAGCAGGATCTCACTGGCATGGTCCAGGGAGTCTAGGACACTGCATCCTACCCCACACAGATGTTTACATTAGGTCAAATAAGGAAGGCTGACCTACACTTGTAAGCAATTAAAACTACATCACCTTACACTATTTCACACTAGTATTTGTATTTTTTTTTCAGATCTTTAACCCATCTATATTAACCTGTCTTGAAGAATTTCTTTTACAATGGGCAACCTAGACCCATAGCACACAATTTTTGATTGAACTATTCTGTGACAATATAGTTATTTAGTCGATGCCTTATAAACAGACATGCCAGGAGCAGTTTATTCTTTTTCCTCGTCAGGGGCAGCCAGGAACAAGTCCGCGTTGTATTTCAGCGTCAGAGGAACCCATGTCTGGGATGAACCAGCAAAAATGTTTTATGGTCAGAGCAACGCTGCATTTATATGAAAATATGCAGAGGTTTGGTAACATTTCGTGTCATCCTGGCTCTAGAGATGGGAATAAAGAAGGTTGTAAAGAAAATGGGTTTTGTGTTAGACTTTTTAATCTCAATTGAGTGCTGAGGTGGTTGATAGGTTTGAAAAAGCCAGTGGGGTGCCTGTCTTAAACATAATTAATTCTGTCATTTCTTCCTTGAGCTGAAACTAAATGTTGGTTAATTGGCACTGATTGATTAAAGCAGAACAAGGGAAAATTTCCTCTGAAAGTCTGAGGCTTGTCTTTACTATGAAATGTGGGAGTGCTTCTAGCCTGAGACAAAATTCTGCTGAAGACAACAGTTTCTGCTTGGTACAGTGAGCTCCAGTTGTATCTTCAGTGTCTCTTATTCCTCTGGTCCAACAGCTGTTCTGCAAGCAAGCCTAACGGAGACAAGAGATAGGTTGGTTTTGCCATGATATAGCTAGCAGTTTTGAATATTATGCATCTGAACTGCCACTGACCTTCCCTAACTACATCACGGGAAAAGTTAAAGCAATGGTCCCCAGGAGGGTTTTGCAGTGAGGTTAGTTGTTTCACTATGAAAACAAACTGACAAGCCTTGTTTTGGAAGTGAGGATGTAGCAGTTCCGTGCTTTGGTCACTTGGATTGGCTTATCTGAGGATATTCATTACGGTTCATGCCCTCAGACTGCCATCCCATCCCACTCCGGGAAGTCTTTATGAACACCACACGGTACCTCAGTGGTCAGGCGATTTTTTGTATTAAAGAGGCTTGAAATTGGTGCTGATTTGTCTTAAAAACTCTGGAAACAACACACTCTTAAACCACTGCAAGTGCAGCTGCCCTGGGTTGTGTGGTAATGAGCTAAAATTGTCACGTTTCTGTTATCTCACTAAGGTTATTGTAAAGACAAATCAATGTACCCCACTGCTGCTGTGGAAAAATAAAGGGTCTGATCCTTCTTCCACATACATGGCTTTTACATTTTTGCAACTCCACCAATTTTTGTCAAACAATTCTTAAGTTTATCCCTGTATGCATAGGAAGAAATGAAGTTGCAGACTTCAGTATAGCATATCCCACCCTGAAAGAAATAGCCTCTCCCTGGGTCTAACCCTATGGCTGTTAAGGAGAGCTGGACTATATATACCAGGACTCATGGCCCCGGGATTTATTCACAGATCTGTCACTGTCTTGATGATAGGAATTTAGTTTGCCCTTCCATTTCTTCACCTGTAAGGTAAGACTAATTGCTCGTTACCTAATGGTGCTAGGATATTTGCACATGTAAAATGTATCCACACTGTGTACCATTGTATGTAGTTAATATAAATGTATTAACTTGCCCCACAGGACTTGCGGAGATGAGAGATGACATCTTGTACAAGCAGGAAATCTGGGATATTCTGAGGGAAGAAAGGAATACTGAGGAAATAAATGCATTTGTAACTAGCAGTAGAGATGAGTCTTTACTCACCTCATATTACCTTATATTGCAGGGTACTCAGAAGGCTGCATTTATTGGACTTAGGAACTGCTGTGCAAACACAATAAAAGAAGAGTCTTAAATTTGGTTTATAAAAATCAAGGGAATAACATGTTAGTAGGATAATTGTACAAATTACTGTCGTTGCAAAATTGCTTTTATGTATGAATATTCGAGTTGGCAACAATTACAGCCAGACTATATGTAGCTAATAAAAGAAAACCACACTCCCTTTTCCAGTTTATCTTCTTCTTTGTTATGAATTTGTTGTGTGAATCATCTAACTACAGCATTTCTATAAGAAAATCCTCATTTGATGGAAGAGCACTTTGAAGTAAAGACCAACTATCGAAGTAATAATGCTTATTGTTTTCTCATATTTTGAGTTTTCACAAGGCATAGCATTTGTGAAGGACTAGTGGTCTTGTGAGCTGTAAATTGTGATTCTGTTAAGGTACAAAGAGTTTTTTCTGCCTGAAAGTCATTTTGGGCACGTGAAGGGTCTTAAAATGTTTTCTTTTCAAGGAACTTAAGCTGCCTCTGAAGTGTTTAAGGGGAGATGAAAGGCTGTGTAATGCACTTCTTCATGCTTCCTGCTGTCCTACAACAGACAAATGCCCTGGGGTGGAGCATTTCAGATGTTTCTACATGCTCAACTGTTATATGTCTAGTTATTATCCTGGAATCATTTCACATCTGAGGAATTTACGTTGGAGAGGGTGTGTCTGCTTGTCACAGTTGCTTTGCCAGGTCCAAACTGTAATAATGCCTTTTCTCCAGAGTTGTAAATAACCCATTTTCAGATGGTATTTGCTTAGAAGTATCAATAGGGTGTGAGAGCATATGCAATACAGCAGCAAGTGGACCTTTTACCATGAGTCACTTCAAAAGCCGGGAAGCTGCGGGCATCCCACATGTGCTCAGGCATTACCTGCGTAGTAAGACCTGGACATTGCCTTGAGAAGGAATGGGACTGTGGGGCATGTACACTAAAACCTGTATCAGGACTATTGTATCCCTTGCAGCTGGATTTCACAGACTTGTTGACATGTTGGTGGGAAGGGATCTCTGGATGTCTCTAATTTAACCTCCACCTCAAAACAGGGCTGGAGCCTACACTGGATTGAGTGAACCATGGCTTTGTCTGCAGGAGTCTTGGATACCTCCAAGAATGGAAATGCCAGAGCCTGCCTGGTAACCTGTTCCAGTCCTTTAGTGAAGGAGTTTTTCCTAGTATTTAATCTAACCCCCAGGTCACAGCTTGTGGACACTGCCTTGATCACTGCTGCTCCTGAGAAGGGTTTGGCTCCATCATCTCTTTAAATGCCTATGCACAGCCTGTGGGCTGCTATTAGGTTCTGTCATGACTTCATCATCATCAGACTCTGCAAGCCTGATGTCTTCAAGCTGTCCTCACAGGAGAAGTGCTCTAGGCCCTGAGTGTTTTAGCAGTTCACCTGTGGGATCCCATTCAGCTTCTCCACCTCCCTCTTGAACAGGAGGCTCAAACAGGTGCAGTCTCACCCGCACCAAGCAGAAATGATGATAACTTTCGTTGATCTTCTGCGTTACGAGGACTGGCTTGCCTCACGTGTGGTGAGAGGGAACTGTTGTCTTCTATTTAAGATGGCTTTCAAGATAACCTATGGGTTCTTCTCAGTAGGGCTGCTCTTCAACCAGTTGGTTCCCAACCTGAACTGGTGCATGGAGTTATTCCAGCTCGGTGCAGCACTTTGAAGGACTCTGTTAAACTTAATTTCTGTTTGCTTGAAGTTTCCCAAGGTCCTGCTGGATCTAAGCACTGGGGATCATCATGACAACCACCCCACCCAGCTTGGTCTTGTCTGCAAAACTGCAGAGGGTGCCTTCTGCCTCTTGTTCAGGCTTTTAGGACTCCCCTTCCACGAGGAGAGAGGACACAGTCTTGGATCTATGGACTAGACATCTTCTGGCACTTTTTCTTCTGGTTTCACACACCCTCCTCTAGCAAAGCTGTTTTAGGCAGTCCCTGCTGCAGCCTGGCCCCCCGCCACTCCTTCCCTCCTTTCCACTCCCTGGTTGCGCTGACACCAGTGTTTGGGGCAGGGTGGCAGACCAGACTGGTGGGTGGATGTGGGACACATGCAGCCATCACAGATATTTTTGTCCTGGCTATGATTTTTTAGCTGTGAAGCAAAGCTTTATCAGGCAGCTGTGAGCAGAGCTGTTCAGCTTTCAGCTGTGGGGGAGGATAGTGTGCCTCTGCCTGCCAGGTGATCACGGTCCCCCTTGCTCTGCCAGCCTGGTGTGTGTGAGGATGGGATGTGTTTCTGCTGCACCATCCAGGACAGGAGCTGCTAGAGCAGGCAGCACACACTGTGACCCGAGGCAGATGGACCAAGATGTACGCAGGGCACAGCTGTTTGCAGAGTCAGTGTCTGCTGCTGGCCAGAAAGTACACGATTTCTTTTTTGGTTGTTGTTCTTTGGGGTGGGATTTTAAGTCATGTGCTGTCAGCTCCGGAGGCCTCTCTTGCAGCAATGTAAACACAGCTACTGTGTGTCCCGGTAATTGCAGCCTGTAGCTCACAATGAGACAGCCAATGCCAATAGATGTATAATGAGCATTTAAAAAGCACTTAGTGTGTCATCTAATCATCGATCTTCCTCATTGCGTAAATATTTTTTTGTTTCCACAACAAAATGACTTTAAAAGAAATGTTCACAGGAAGAAAAAAATAATTTTGATGCGGCTGATAAAATCAGGATAGTCAAAATGATTCATGTGACATTGGGGAAAGCTCGCAAACGAGACTTAATTTCTGTGGCAAAAAGACCTCGTGGATTCATCACTGCTTGGCTGTGCCTGGAAATTCAGGGCAGCTGGAAACTTGATGGTGACCTCTGATAAGCAAAAAAAATGGTGAGGGTTTTAATGAATGACTTGAATAAGAAAATAAATAAGCCACTCTGTGCAGTATTCTTCCTGATATTTGTTTTGCTGTTAAGTTCATTTAATGTAGTTCTCATTGTGTTGTGATGATTGTGTTGTCAGCACATCACCACGCATGAACACTGCTGCCAGTTTGGCTGTCAGGAAAGGGGATACATTGCCTGAGACACACAAGGCAGAACAGGCAGGTGACTGCAATAGGAAGGAATTTAGAAGCCTTTGGTGAGGAAACGTCAGAGATCATAAAGAGAGAAAGGGTCTCCCTGAGCATCTTTGTTCTCCTCTGTCAAACTGGCCACAGGACCTAAATGAGTTCCTTTCTTCACCATTTTTTCTCTTTCAGGAGAAAAATCTAGTCTTGGTTTACATCTAGAAAATGGGTTGGGGAAAGGAGGCTCTAACCACAAATTTGGGGAAAGTTGCCCTCATCATTATTACTTTCCTTGCTAAATTGCTCAGTCTGTTCCTAGCCTTGGTTTATTAATTTGCAGTTTTTATTCCCTGGCTTTTGTATCTTTGCCGAGAGGTTTAGGAACATTAAAAATGAAATGTTGATTTCCCATGTGAGTATTTATAGACTTTGAGGCACATGTTAATCTTCTTCTGGGTAAAACCAGACTAAGCTCCATGTTTGTTTCACTATAAGGCACATTTTCAAGGCCTTAGTCATTCTGTTTTTCCAGTTCCGTGTCCTCCTTCTTGGTTGTAACACCAAGACTACGTTCATGCTCTTAATAGTAGTTGTTGCCCAGAACTGCTGGCCACCAGCTATGCCCTGAAGTGCTGTTCAGCAGAGGGCAAAGGGAACCCATCTAGGCTGGTTTCCATCTGAAAACTGGACCTGCACAGAATGGATAAGGAGACTGCGGTGGTCACTGGTCACCAGGCGAGCCTGCACTTGCCACTGGAAGCTGTCCCAAACCCTGTCAAAGGCAGATGAACGATTTTCCAGCTTTTAGAACAAAAAAGGCCTTATAAAAGCTTTCTTTCTTCATTCACAACATTGCAGAGGATGCCAGCCTTGGGGTTTTAGCCCTTTCTAGTTACTGGTGCCTTCAGTGTTTTCCAGGGAAGGTAGCGCAAATTAACCAGTCACAGTACAGCCACCTTCCTTGGTTATCTTGCAGAGGCTACTTAAATATAGTTTCCACAAGAATCCCCAAGTCAGAAGCTGGAAGCTGCAAGCTAAAATACACTGAGGCAACACAAAAGGCCCCATGATGATATTTTTTTCTTAGAGCATATTCAGTGCTTGTGTGAGATCATCCCTGTAAGTCTTCCGAAGTCTCTGCAGCTCATTTCAGATCCCTGCAGTTCATCCAGACAGGCTGTAACTCTATGGCCCATGCACTAGGAGAGAATTGGAGTAATCCCTGAATAACCTTGACTAATGCCATAATTTTTGAAAGGCAGCATTTGGAAGCTCTTCAATACAGTATAATGTTCAACCTTGATCCTTTATTTTGGGTTTCATGAACACAAAATTGCTCACCTGACGTAGAAGATCCTGATGGACTTTTCAGAAGTTATTCAGATGCTTGTGATGAAATTCATAAAGGTATAGAGATGCTTTGTTTCCTTTGAATTTGGTGGGAGTTAAATGCTTAAACTACTTTCACCAATCTCAGCTTTTACTTAGCCATCTCTGCATTGTTATAATGCTCCCATGTTCACATCCCTTTAGCCCATTGGCCAATGGAAACACCTTTTTTCCAGAGGAAAAAGGGAACAGAATATGTATCTGTATCTCAGTCATTTCAATGCAAAGTCTACTTGATTGGTGAGAATCTCTTCTAAACCTCATGACCCTTCAGCAAAGAAAGCAGATGAAGGGCATATAGGTTTTCCACTCAGTGCTTAGCTAAAGGGATTGTAATGACCAGTGAAACTGCAGAATGATTTTGGGGCAATAACTTCTTCAACTGAAAGTGCAGATATTGATGCTTAATTTTTTTGTGTGGTTTAATTTTTTTTATCGGTTGGGTTTTGGTTGGTTTTTGTTTGGCTGGGTTTTTAATCAAAAGGACTTACATACTTAAAACATTGTTTCTCTTTATGCCAGCTTGAACTCACTGGCACAGTACTTCTGTGCCCAGGCACAAACGTCCGCAGGAAAAAATACCTGTTTTTAAAATACTTTTCACACAAAAAGTATCCCAAGATCCCTTTGTAGCATTACCTCGAGTAGAAAAATCCAACAAGCAAAATATTCAATCCCTTTTAGTCGTGAGTTAAGAACTTTACTGTGGACAACAGAAAAACAGCGATGAAGAGCTATCAGCACAGCAGAGGGAATCAAATGGCTTTTGTCTGGGAGAGAGCAGGTGAGCAAAGGGAGGCTTGGATGAAACAGCTGCAGTGGGAAGACTTCTTCACTGAAGGGCTGTGTTAGAGAAGGAGGAAGAACAGACAATGGGTGATCAGTGGAGCCCCAGAGAGGAGCGAAAGAGGCCTTGGTCTGTGTGGTGTGGTTGATTTTGAAGACCAGGAAAGGGTATCTGATGCTGTGATGCAAACTTCCATGTTGGGGGAAGAACAGAAGTTAGACCAGAAGAGGGCTGAGATTTCTTTCAGAACACATAGACAACAAAGAAAGATATCTTTCTTTTCAGCAACAGGTCAGAGAGAAAACAAATGGGATTAAAGTCATTTTCACTTCAACATACTTACTTTCTAGAAAGATAGTAAAATATTGATGTGCCAGACTTGATGGGATCCTTTGTTTCGTATGGCGTGGTCATTTACTCTTACATCAAACTTCGTCTTTCTCCAGTTGGTGCAGCAAACTACACAAACTGTAGTTTTGTAGTTCCACCAATGTGGAAGGATATTTACTGTTTAGAGAAGTCCTTGGACGCCTCAGCAAACTTTGTCTTGTTTCTCTGTCCGAGAGCTATATTTAGACTTTGCTCAATCAAGGTCTGAGCAGCTGCTGCTCAGATGTTGTGTGAGCACAGCTAAATATTTTTGAGAGCATAAAAAAGCAGTAAGATAACTGCAGCCATTTTGTTTTGAAAGAGCCAAGTGTTTGGCTAGCTGTGTAGTCACAGAGGAAAGAGAAACTACCTTAAAGGCACATTTATTCGTGCTATTTCTCAGTCTGAAACTAACAAAGACAAGCAGATCTAAATAATGTGTCTTAAAAACCCATAGCACCTCTATGAAGCTACTTAGCTGCCCTTGAAATTACCTTGTTCTTCACCTCATGACAGATCAGCACAGGAACTGCCAGTGCCTACAGTTGTATTGCATCTGACTCTCTCAGGCTCAACCTAATGATGACCTATATGTGCTATGACAATATCAATACTCTGTAATTATTGCAGGATAATAAAAATTTCATCTGTCAGTGAAATGCTGCTATCTTGGCTGTAAAATATGGCAGCACACAATAATCTATGCCAACAGTTACCCTGAGTAAACTGCCTTTATTCCCTGAAATTTGACCAGGAAGCTTGTGGGTGGGAAGCCTTCTCCTGCAAAACTGACTGGAACATTTTTAATGAGTAATCAAGGGTGTTTCCATTCCTGCTGGTGGACAGACAAGAGGACATGACCAAATGGGGAACCCCCTCTACCAATTTGTTCCCCATCCCTGAAGTATAAAACATAAGAAGGATTGATGGGACAGGAAGATTTCCTGAGAGCTGGGGGTGGGAAAATGATGGCTATCAATAGCCTTGTGGAGAGGATCAGGATCTGCAATTTGAAGAGGTAAAGAAACAGATTTCTCTTACTGAGTAGGGCGGGTGAGTTAGGAAAGACGTAAGGGCTTTGGAGGGTTAGTGGTGAGGTTTAGTCTCTGACGCTGTCTTCTTGTTCCTGCATGTCCTCCAGCAAATTACTTTGCATCTCACTCTCCTACATGAAAATATCCCCTGACATGCTGAGAAAACTGGGGCTGCTCGGCCTGGAGAAGTCTGCGTGGAGACCTCATAGCAGCCTTCCAGTGTCTGAAAGAGGCCTACAAGGATGCTGGAGAGGGAATCTTCATTAGGGACTGTAGTAAAATGACAAGTGGTGATGTGTTAAAACTTAAACAGGGGAAATTTAGATTGGATAAAAGGAGGAAGTTCTTTGCTGTAAGGGTGGTGAGGCACTGGAATGGGTTGCCCAAGGAAGTTGTGAATGCTCCATCCCTGGTGGTGTTCAAGGCCAGGCTGGACAGGGTCTTGAGCAACCTGGTCTAGTGGAAGGTGTCCCTGCCCATGGTAAGGAGGTTGGAACTAGATGATCTTAAGGTCTTTGCTAACCCACATCAATGAATGATTCTGTGATTCTGTGATGACATAAAGTTCATATTAACATGAAGCACAGGTGGTGTAAGAGACACACAGCATGGAGCTAACACAATCAACTGTCCTTCACTTAAAAAAACCCAGAGACTTTAAAGGAACCTGAGCAGTGCTTTTACGGTTGGCCTCAGATGTCAGCTGGAGTTCCCAGGGCACCCCGCCTGTTCGACGCGAACAGGTTCGCTTTTAAAAAGCATGGACAATTTGGAGGACAGATCGCAACTCCCATCGGAGCGGGGCTCCCATCGGAGCTGGGGTTTCCCCATGCCCCCGGGCCCCGCTGACGCCTCGCTGCCCGCAGCGGGGGTGCACGCTGCCTACCGCAGGGCTTCCCGCCGATCTAGCTGCCACACCGTCCCGTCAAGCACCGTTCCCGGGCCGCACCACCTCCCGCCGCCTCCGCCCACCCCTCCGCCCCGGGCCACCCCTACCCGCCCCGACCCGCTCGTGCGCGCGGACCAAGCGTGCCGGTAGGGCGGGACGGGGCGGAAGAGGGGAGGGCTCGACCTGCTCTGGCGCCCCGGCCCGGCCAACCCGCGGCTGCCGGGTCTGAGCCATAAAAGCGCAGGGAGCTGCTGGGACCGTGGCTCCAGCTGGCCGCAGCCGTGCTTGGGGTGCTTCGGGTGGGCAGCCCGGCTGGCTCCCTTCTGCCGCCCGGCCACAGCGACCGCGCCGGCACTGGGCCCCCCTTCTCACCCCGCCTCGCCCGCCGCCCCCAAGATGCTGTTTTGGCACACGCAGCCGGAACACTACAACCAGCACTCGACCGGCAGCTACCTGCGGTGAGTTCCCGCCGGCGCCGGGCTGCGTGAACCCCCGAGCGGTTAAGGGGATTAAGGCGGGCACGGGGGTTAAGGGGAGGGTGTCTGCTGGCTCCGAGGCATCCTGCTCGTCGGGCTGCCCGGGCGGTACCCGTTGGCGGTACCCGGCGTCCAGCGGAGCAGCCGCATCGCCCGGGGTGAGCGTTCCTGACTCGTTCTGAGAAGTGCGGGCGCTCTTTTATTTTTTCCCCTTCTTTTTATGTTAGTTATTTTTTTCTTTCTTGCACCTCGTTAGACAACTCTCTGCAGCTTTGCTTTTCTGCTTTTGCCGGCTTCCTTCTGCGCAAGGGCTTAGGTGGTGCAGCTCGCAGGGAGAAGGTGCGCTAGTTGCAAAGTGCTGTCAAAAGCCTGTGGAGAGTGTCTGTTGGCCAGCTAAGAGAACATCCAGTTTTCTGAGGATGGGATTTCTTTCTCTTCTTTTTGGGACGATGGGTAAAAAGCTCAAAATTTCACTTTCTGAGCTTGTCTAAACCAGCTTTTTCCTGCCTCCACACATTTGTGTTTAATTAAATGTGCCTAATTCAAGCACAGGGGCTGCTGAACAATAGTCGTTGTAACGTGTAACACAAGCCTGTATTTCCTCCCTCCAAAAGATGTCAAAGCGGGCAACTTTGGGAGCTTCCTTTCTGCTGGATGCTTATGTTTTTTTTTCTGAGAACATGTAAAGCTGAGCTCTCAGCTGGTGTGTGAATTTGCTGAATTGCAGCAGTGGAGGACTAAAGGCTAAAGAACCTTCCTTTCAAAGTGTACCCCGAAATAACTGCTGTTGAGAGAACGTTGAGTTTGTCGGCAGAGCACTTGGAACACAGATAATGCTTCAGTTTCAAGGAGACACACAATCCTAACTATTAGCTATCAGTGTATTTGAAAAAGATTTATTTATTTTACTAAATAATAATAATGCCATGAGATTCTTGCTTTTTGGCAGCTTCTCCACTTCTTTGTACAAGGTTTTTCACCTCCTCGCTCTATCCCAGTGTCTGTCTTAACAGCATGTATGTGGCAAAAGTCTTGTTCTCTCTTGCTTTGGATTTGCAAATCTGACTAGTTTGGGACAGTGGGAAGAGTAGTAGCAGAGGAGCATCAGCATTGGTAGTTGTGTGCACTGTGTCTGCATTAGAGAGCATTTATGGTGCTCAGACTGCTTGATTAACTCCATGGATTTGTAGTACGATTGCTACAGGATCAAGTCTGTGTCAGGCTTGAACCCACAACTCAAATTCCTTTGAATTGGCCAGAAAACGTTAGATTATTTTTGCCTGTTTGGTGCTAGCTGGAGGCAATAGAGGAGACCTGCTCTGGCAGGAAGGCTGCTAGTATGAAGGTAACCTGTTGATGTTTTAGGAACAAACTTCAGCTTTAGTGAGTACCTGCCTCTGTGACAGTGGTGGTTTTGATCTGGGAGTGGAAGCTCTAAAACCAGTTCTATGGCAGGAATGGCCTCAGGTGTTTCAGGGAAGGTCAGTTGAATAAAACCTTTGGGTTTTGTAATTCTGGCTACTTTACTCTCCATGGGAATGTGTGAAGGCATGCATTTCTCGAGGGGTGTTTTTCTTCTGAGCTTTACCTTTCTGAAGATTTTCCATACCTGTAATGACTTTGCACAGGAAGCTGAAACAGTACAAACCTTGAAGTAGCTGTAGGAAAAGTTTGTATCAATTATACCTTGTAGACATCAGAGGTGTTGTGCATATCTAGACATCCATGTAAATTCTGCCACACCTCAGTGGTATTTGTAGTTATAGCAAGACATTACTACAGAAAAGTCCTTGTAAATATTCATTTGTTTTTGTGGAAACCCAGTATGTATTTTGCTCTCAGTTCTGCCAGCTGACTGAACTCTTAAATAACTTTCTCCTTTCCATGTAAGTGGGCTAACAGTTGGCTAAGACCAAAGCTGTAAAGCTTTAGCATAAAGATGAAACTTGGGAGAGTCTTAACGGTGTTTCATCCCCTTGCCCCCTATCCCCCTTTTTTAAGGATAGGAGCTGTTGTAAAAGCCTGCTTTTTCAAAAACTTGATTTGCAACTCTGGACTGAAGAGAGTTGAACAAATATTTTGATGGCTTGTATAACTACAGCTTTCGCATTCTTCTGAGCCTTGATCTGTTGCTCACATCCTTCTAAGATCTGAGTGCTTTTAATAAGGTGAAATGTTTTAGAAGGGTTTGATCCAAGGCTGTGAATACCACTGGCCATTAGTTCATTAGTTCAGGAATAAAAATTAACTCGTGTGGCTTAGTCAGTGCTTTAATATGGTGAAACTTTCTGGAAACCAAATCATGGATTCCTCCATGCTTACAGTCCTTGGCAATAGCGCAGCTGTTCCAGCAAGTGTAAGGGTGTTAAGAGTATTGAGTGAAATATGATATTTGGTACTTGGATTTAGACTTCACCTTGCCTAAATCTCATAACTGCTTCAGCTGAATAGGTGTACAAATATCTCAACCTTAACTGTTAAACCTGAGCCAGATTGTGTGCTGGTTTCTGCAGATCTGCAGAAGCTTTCAGGCTTCAGTGATTTTGACCTGTTCTCATCTGGAAAGCAGCACTCATTCTGATAGCACTGTGCAGACAAGTGTGTTAAGAGCAAATGTTGGCATCTGGGGTGAGTGGCTGTCCTCTGGAGAGGTATTGGATCCTGCATGTGTGTAGAGCAATGCGATCTGTTTCAGAGATCTGTTGTAGGCATTTCTGTCACTTCATTACTGTAGTAAATCATCACCACTAAGGAGAAAAAACCCTCTCTGTGGCTGCAGTTAGTCAAGATCTGTGATTAGGTCAGTATTGCCAGTAAGCAAATGGGGCTGGATGCTTTTGAGTTGGTGATAATACAGAAGGGTTGTAAGAGAAAATGCAGAGATGAGTGTTTCTTTTCTCCTGTCTGTATCTGAAATGGCGCAGTTTGCTCTCTGCTTTTATTTTGCCATAAATAGGAGTACCTGTGTTTGAATCAGGCACTTCAGCAGTTTGCTGTAAACTGCTGCACCTTTTCACTCATGACCTGGGTAGCCTTCAAGGTTGTGGGTGCTACGAATGAACACAGGGTGGATCATTAACTGAACAGGCTAGGGGAAAATTCTAAATGTTCTTTCCATAGGGAGCATGTCCGTACATGCCAGCATGGTCCTGAAGCTTTTTGTGTATGGGTTTACTGAAAGGAGCAGAACTGGAGCCTCTGTAATGGGAGTCTCAAGTCTTCACACATCTAGAGGAAATGGAGGAGGCAAAAAAGAGTTGCTTCTTATTTTGAACTGTCTCTGTGCTCAGCATAATCCTCCTAATTTGGAAGGGTATTAATGTCCTAAGTAGGTGGACACAATGACCAGAAATGTGGACATGGGAAAGGCTAATGTGGTCTTTCAGTATCAGACATGCTGAGATAAGGATGCTTATTCCTAGCATCTCATTTTGTACTAATCATTCTGTTGTGCTCTCAGCCTTGCTAATACGTGTTCTGCTTGGGGATTAGTGTGGATTGAGATCAGTCTGACGCTGAATCAAAAGGCAGGTCAGCATGAACATCTTATAAAGGAGTGAGAACATGGACTGTGTTCAGGTCCTAGTGAAGCTGCTCCTGAGCACCTGTGTGCATGCGCATTTATGAAGGTAGCCCGATGCTAACTTAAGAGCTATATGAGATCTTGGGACCAGGTTTATTAGAGTGCAAAGAGATGTTATGAGTCAATTAACCCAGCAGTTCATGTCATCATTTACCTGAATGTCTCCTTTCTACATCAGAGCTGTGTCTGCTTCTCATATTGGCTGCTACTTGTAGGCATTTTATTAATCTGACACTTAGCTGTCATGATAAAGAGCCCTTTATTTTCCTGAAGGTGTTTCATCTGGGAACCCAAGAACTCTTAAACAAATGTAATTCCACAAGGATGAATAATCTATTTTTGATACATTTTTTCCTCATCAGGAAGACTGCTTTATTGAAAAATAGATCCAATTTATGTTTAGCAAACATAAATTAATTCTCAGAAATATTCTATTTTGCTAATGCTGTGTTCTTTTGTGTCCAGTGCTGACACCCAAGAGGCAGAAGTTTCCTTATTACATTATACAGGCTGAATTCTTTCTTGCTTAGCTATCATAAGTTGCTGTTTCTCCAGAGGCCATTTCTGTTATCTCAGAGCATGAGAATCAAGCACAGGTTGAGGCTAGGATTCTATCAAGTTTCTCTGAGTGAATGTGTGTGAATTCTGTGTTGCAGAGATGTCCTTGCACTGCCGATCTTCAAGCAGGAAGAACCTCAGCTGTCTCCTGAGAATGATGCCAAATTGCCACCCTTTCAGTATGTCCTCTGCACAGCCACATCACCTGCTGTGAAACTGCATGAAGAAACCCTGACCTATCTCAACCAAGGTGGGGTTTGCACTACACTGAAGGAGGGTATATTTGCCGGGAACAGTTAATGAGACAGATTTAATCTCATACTTGTGCCTTACCTGGGGGGTAGTGGGATGGGGAAAAAGAGGGATAGAGATTGGGAGGGGGTTGGAGGAAAGGAGGAATATTTAATTTTTCACATTTATATACTGTTGTAAAATAATCAAGTACCAGTGTTTTAACCATTTACTTAGAGCAGCATTATACCATGCACAGTTCCCTGTACTGTGCTTGATCTCTGACAACCTAAGCTGCAGCCTCCTACCTTGATCTCAAAAGGTCGATTTAATTAAGCATATTGGCAAACTTTGGGTTGGGGAGGGCTCTTAACATTGCAAGTCCCCAGGCGCTGCTGGAGGGCATTGTCAGAGCATGAGTTAGCAGGTATCCAAGTGCTCCTTGGTGATCTGGGCAGGGTATGACATTGCTCCCACTGGCTGGGTGATGTGGCAGTGCTCAGTTCCTAACTTGTCAAGTTGCTTGGGTTCAGTGCAGCAAAGTCCTTTATAACTGACCTCATAGGATAATTTTTACTCCTGGATAAACAAGCACTATGTGTTTCCCTTGGCTTCCCCCTCTACCTTTGGCAGAATTTGTGCAGATACATCTGTGGTTGGTATTTGACTGTCATTTTGCAGCGCCTCCTGTGTGTGCATCCTGGGAGAAATACGACCTCTCCAGGCACAGATTATACTAAACCCTAACTACACTTATTTTCTACCAGGTTGTTGCTAGGCTAATGCCTTTGTTTACAAGCTGAAGGCTGTCAGCCCTGCTACTGAGACCCTTTCGTGCTTCAGGGCACTGTCCCAGCTCTTTAAGCTTTTTGTGCACTGAGCATGAGGCTTGCTTTGGTGCTTCTCTGACTAGGTTTTCTGTGAATGCTTGTGCAAAGCAGAGCCATGACCTCCTTTGGACTCTGACCTCAGGTGTGTCTGGCTGCTGGATCTGTGTTGCTAGCTGGTAGGAGGCATGGAGCCCCCATGGAAAGATGGCCAACTGCTACAGGCTCTGCTCAAGGAGCCAGATGTTTCCTGTTGCTTAAGCTGGCACTGCGCTGGCTCTCAGCATCAAAAGATGCTAGAGATGACTGTGTTCTCCCCGTTAATCCGTCCAAATAGCAGACTCCAGGAGGTGATACAGAGCACATCAAGGGTGAAATGGAAATGAAGTTTTTTGTCAAACACAGATCTGTCCTGTTTCAGAGTAAAAGATTTTCTGTTGTGAAAAGCAGTTGATGGCCAAACATTTTAGCATACATGAGGCAGTGCCTAGTTTCTGGTTGTTTTTTGTTTTTTTTTAACTTATTTTGGGGGGCAAAAGTTAGACCACTCTTCACACAATACAGTGAGTTAAAAAAAAAACAAACAAAAAAACCCCAAACAAATGAACAGAAACTCCAACTACAAAAGTTGTGACTAGAGTAATCTACACTTTCCTGTGCAAAGTAAGACTGTTGCTGCCTTTGCAGATAGACTGTGTTGTGTTAGGCCTTCTCCAGCTTCAACTGGACACAGTACTGACCTATTTCCTTGCCAGACCACCAGCTGTTGGGTATCTTCTGCATTTGTCTTTCATCCCTCAAGGGGGAAGGTGGGATGTGTCCTTGCAGAATACACCCTGGAGAGCATGAAGCTGGACAGGCCTGAAGGAACAAAGAAGGGATGAGTCTGGCAGGAGCTGTGCAGTGGGGCAGAGTTGGGAAGGTAGTGGGGGGAAGATGTGGGCACTCTGTAGTGCTGTTGGCTTGCCACAGTGGATGGAAACAGCACTTCTTCCTAGGGTCTTTAGAGTGATCAGTGGTAAAAGGTGGTGAACTTCTGACAGTTGAATAGCTTGCTACTTTCTGTTCCTCTTGGCAAGAGCTTTGCATCTGCCTGCCATCTTCACAGGAGCATCCTTACCTCATTTAACATCCCAAGAAATATGTCTTCCTCCTTACACTAAAATGCTCTGGATTTCTTGGGGGGAAAAAAAAACAACCCCAAACCTCCTGAAATTCAAGGCTGTCTGTATATAGATGGATGCTGTTTGGATTTTTTTGGGGGGGTTATTTGTTTTGGTTTTGTTTCCCCCCCGCCTTGAACTCTTGCCATGTACCTAATTTAAAAGCCATTTTGCTCCACGCAAGCAGGTTGCTTCAGAGTCCACACCATTGGCTGCACTTTTGCTCCCAGCACTGACCCTTTCAGGTAGCAAGGGTAGGCCTTGACTGTAAATTTGTCTGACAGGTAGTCTACTGTGATACTAAGTCCCTTAAACCAAAATCCCTCTCCTGTGCTAGTTAGGAAAAAGGGGCTGGAGTCTACTCCCATGTGGATATGCTGTGGGAAACTTGTTGGGTTCATTAAGGGTGACTGCAGATATGGGGAGAACAGCATGCTGGACATGCCTTTCAACCAGCTGTGGACAGAGCTGGGGAGTCTAATTTCTGTTGGTGGGATTTCAGTGCAGACAGTGTGTGGGGTTAAAAATATATGAGGATTGGTCTTGCAATTCCAGGACAAAGAATCCATTTGAGTTGACAGGTAATCTCCCATTTCACTTAAAAGTTCCTGTTTAGGAACTTCTACATAAAAGGGTATCTGGTCTTTTTCATGACATTTATGTTAAAAGCAATTCATTGACCTCATGCATTGACCTTCTGGAATAAAAAATTGTGTCTCTTCAAAAGCAAAAATTAAAGTGCCTGAGTCAAACTTTCTTCTTTCAGCAACACTTGTCTATGGGGACCTCTTTTGATTCTTGAGCGACAGTTTTCCAGCAGGTACCTGTTGCGTAGGTATTTTCCCAATCCTTCTCCAAAACCAGAGGAGGGTGCTGCACCTCTTTACTTTGACCTGCTCAACACATGCCCTGGAATCCCACCCAAGTGCTGTCACACTGATCTCTATTGTTCTGCCTGGGCTAGAGGTCCATGTAAGTTAAAGGCCCTGTCAGAAAATCAATCCCACTAACTGAATTGGATTGTATGAGCCTGGGGGAGGTATGTGAAGGGGACTGGAGCCAATACTACCAGCAGAAGAGCTGACCGACTCCAGAGCTCTGTGACCCAGCTGTAGTACCATAGCCATCTCATGGAGCAGTTTAGCCCATTCCCTTCACCTTATGCTGACTGCAAGCAAAGGGACAGCTCTTGCACCTTACCCTCTTTCTGCTCTTATCATGGTCTGGCCAAACATTGTTACATAAAACTTCTCTTCTTCCTTGTATGCTTGAGTTTTGTGATGGATTACTTTAGCAAATGGGTAACTTCATTAATGGATGTCCCTCCACCCTGTCTGCTCTGATAGAGAGCATCAGTCACAGCTGGCTCCTAGTAAGGCACATACAAATGCAGAGTGGCTGTCTCAGCTTCAACAAAGCAGTTCACATCCCATGTGGTTATTTATCCAAATTATGAGGACTGGGTTTGGGGTTTGCTGTTTGCTGTGTGACTGGTGCCACCACTTGCTGTCCAGATGTTCCTTCCTGACTTGAGCTCTTCACCACTTGGTAACTGACCATTTGTCACCATGAAGCGCTCTGCTCCCTGCCCTGAAATGCTCCACAGGTGACTGGTTCAGTGGTGGCTGGTGAGTGGACCAGCTCAGGAGATGGTCCATGTGCACAACTAGATGGAAAAAAGGTCAGGTCTGACAGGGCTATGGAGAAGGGAAAGCTGAAAGAACTGGGTAGGCAAGTTTAAGGCCAAGTAGCATAGAAGAACTGGAGGAGACAGTCAGATGATGTCGAAAAGGGTTTCATATGGGCTAGGAAGAAGGGCTGTCCCGTGGTTGTGTTTGTGTACAAATGTGGGAGGGCTTCAGGCTTGTGGAGTGTAATGACTTCTCACGAGCCTTGCTTTTCGCTGGATAGACCCAGAGAGATGGTCAGTGGCATTGAGGAGGAAGAGGCCTTCGGCCTGGGCCCTCCACAAAGGTCAAGGAGGAAGCTGAGAAGACTCCTGAGCTGGAAACCAGAGTTTTCAGCAAGAGCAGGGGGAACATTTCTGAGGGAGCACAGAGGAGTGAGCTTAGCTATTGTGTTAAGTTGACTTGGGGACATTCAGCAGTAGCAGGCTCCTCAGCTTGTCTGCTCCAGTTTGAAACCATGAGTGCTTGCTGGCTGCAGCTCTAGAACCAGCCTGTAAATGAAGTAACTAGAGTCAAATCCGTAGCTTGGCTTCCAAAGGTTGACTCATTACACTTGTCTTTCCTGATCTCTTCTCTGCCATGCATTCCCATGTTCCTTGGGAAACTTGGAGCTGGAGTCCTGCTAGCCCAAATTCAACATGATCTTAGTTTGCTAATCCTTAGAGCAGTTCCTACATTAAGTGATTTTTACTGGATCTCAGCAGGATTATTCATATGATGGGACAATGTATAGACCTATTAGTATGGTGTCCTAGCGTCACTCTGCTTTCAGTGCACAGAACTGGTAAAGGTCCTGTCCTTGCATTAGGAGCTGCTGCTGGCATTGCTGCTCTGGTCAGGGATCACGTCTGTCAACAGCTACACTGTCCAGAAGTCTGCTGCACAGACATCGCCTAACGTTTTTGGAGCTAGCCTGCCTTTTAGCGCTATTTCAGTGTCTCCTGTGGATAGGGATTTTCAGACAAACAATCAACCAGCAACCATATTACAAACCACTGCTTTAGCAAGAGGGCTTGATGCAGTTGCATATTCCATGGTGTGCAGTCATATGGGGTGTGGTTTGACCATGGCTGGTTGAAACTAGTTTCAAATGTGGACAGAAATGGGAGTACTGAAGGTGGTTCCAGAAATTGCACCAGGAGGAATGCGGAGGAAAAAAGCACTGTACAGTAGATCTGCATGCTAATAAATGTGGGAAAATAAAATTATCCCTTTAAAAAACAAATCAAAAAGCCAAAACCCACAAAAACCTGAAAGTCATTGCCCAAGGGAATTGGCTAGTCCACCACATGTGGACTGTGAGCTATTCAACCCATGATTGTGTTTCATGACCAGCGTTGG